TGAACATCACACCTTGTTCCCTGCCCAAGCAGTGTGCAATACAACCGAGGGAGGCAGGTGGGGAATTCAGGGGTGAGGGGTTTGGGGGAAAGGGGGAAGAAGAGGGGGCATGGTCAGGTGGGGAGTTTTTGAGGTTTGAGGTGAGAAGGTTTGGCAAGAAGACAGAGAGACGTAGAGACAGAGGTAGTGCAGAGGAATAGAGACAGAGGAACAAAAAGAGCAGCAGTAAGAAGAAGGCAAAGGGATAGATGCAGAAGAGACAGAGACTAGGCAGAGATAAACCCTGAGAAAGAGACAGAAATGCAGTATTGAGAGAGCCCCACACCAAGCCTCCTTTCTTCCACTGGCAAGGTGAGGGGCTTGGTATGGTCTGGGGAGATCCCCTGACTACCATTCTCAGTAAGAGAGGAAATCAAAACCCATTCTTAGATTCTTCCCTTTCTCCCTCCAGCAGTGGGTGGGGGAAGGGAAGTGAGGGCAGGGGCAAAAGTGAGGATTTGGGAATTTTATTTATTTATTTATTATGACTTTTCATTTTTTGGTATTTGGCTTTACTGAAATAGATGGGCCCCTGCCCACTGTGCCCTATTTGTCCCTTATCTCCCAAACCCTGTTCTTCCTCAGTACTCACCTACTTAAGCACTTGTTTAAAGCTTCCAGGGTTGAGAATGGGAGTAGAGGGCAAGAGGGCTGACACATGGAAGTTTCCAACCCAAAATCACCCTACTTAACCTTCCTGAGCCAAACGGGTTGAACTGAATTCCAGCAGTCACAGAAACAGTAAGAGGTTAGGGTTTAGGAGCTGGGGGGGTGGGGGGTGGGAGGGAGGGGCTCAACATCCAGTGTCTGTACGAGAGCCACGAAACTAACCCTCAGGTCTACCCTCATAGTACTGACTTAGGCACAGGTGTGGCCTGCTTATGCCCAAATTCCCCCCAGCCAAGAGAGAGACCAAAGAGCCTGTGGAATGCCTCTGCTCCCAGCCTCTATCTTCAGGTCAATAAAAAGAAGAGTAGAGAGAGCCCAGAGTCCCCAGGTCTGGGAAGGGTCAGGAGGGGTCAAGAAAGGAGTTGTAAGGAGGCTGAAGGTTACAGGGCATTTGAATCCAAATCACTGCTCTGGGCTAGGGAATAGAGCCAGCAGACCAAGGTGGAAGGGATTCTGGAAGGGGGACATTTTAGTCCCCCAACCCCAAAGCTCAGGGTGGAAGGGGGTAGAACAAAGGAGCAGAGTGTCTATAATTATTTTTATCTTTTATTTTTGGAATCTAGCAGTACCTGGCAGCAGGGAGGGGACAATACAAGTGGGGAAACGCACCTGACAAGGCCAGTTAGGGCAGAGGTTGGGAAGGATGGAGACTCCCTGGTTTGGAAAGCTAGGAAGCAGGCAGGGACTGGTTGCCACGCCAGGTCACTAGCTGGGCCTATTCATTCCTCCCACAATCCTGACCCACCCTCCTCTGGACTCACTGTGCCTCAGTTTCTTCCCCTCGATGGAATGAGAAATAGCAGCACCCGCCACAGCCAAGAGATGAATTCTGAGCACTTACCACGGGCACTTTATGGACATAAAATACCTCTCGCTGTGGGACAGATAACCAGGGCACCAGAGTAGTGGTGAAGAGATGTGAGGCTTAGAGGAGTCACAGGCTTCAGAGTACAAGTTCCCCTCTGCCTCCCAGCTGGACAGTGCCTGAAGACAAGGAGCTGAGAACCTCCTGATCCATACCCTATCCATACCTCACCTCCAGACCTCTTGGCTCCAGGCAAGAGCCTAGAGGATGTCAGGAGAGGAGGGAGAAAGAACCTTCAGCAAAATAGTCACTCTAAGTAAAGCCAGCAGTCGTGGGTCTGATGCAAACAGTACTGAACTAAAGTAAGCCCAAGCTGGAGAGCTGACCTGGAAGGCTTGTTCTTCCCAAGAGCATGACTTTTCCTGCCTGGCCCAGCTGGTGGAAGGGGCAAAGGTATGTGGCCACCCTTGGAAAGGTGATGTTGGTGAGTTTTGGCATCTTATTCCCATTCCCACAATGAAAAAGTGAGATATTTCGGTACCGGAACGGGCAAGGGCTGTTAAGTGTTTCAACTTGCCTCCTCCCAGATAGCAGCTATACTAACCCCCAGCCTCTCCTCTCTGGCCCCATTCTTCATCATTCCTTATGCCCCAATCTTGGAGAACAAGATACACCTGACCATCAACACCATTCACACTTCCTTGGTGGAAAGAAAGGAACAGAGAAGTGAAGAACAGAAGACGCCTCCTCCAAGGGCAAATGCCCGTGTCTCTTGATCTTGGCACAGGGTGGGGGCTGGGCAATAGGCATCAGGTGACTTCCCTCTACAAATTCTAGAGAGCTGGGGCATTAGACTTGGGGGACACTTAGAATATGCCCCTTTAATGCCACCAAATAAAGACCTTTGGGGGAGGGTCTTTCTCTTATGAACATAAATCTATGAGTTGAAGTCTCATTCCCCTGGTCCTCCTCACCCCCAACGAGGCATGGGGTAAAGAGGCTTGGGGGCACAGCCCAGCAACCTAGTGGGAACTAGTACTCCCCTCTCCCACCTTATGATGTGTGTGGACCTGGCCAGTGCCCCTCTGATCATAATTAGTGTCATTATTATTTGTGTATTTGTTACACCGTGTGCGTGAGTGCCTTTGTTTGTTAAGGGTGTCTGAGGAGTATGGGGCTGACAGGGGCACTGGAATGCCGGGAAAGGACTTCTTCACTGAGATCAAGGCTTCCTGGAGGAAACCATTGCAAAAAGGCCATCAGGCAGTTTCCAAGTTATGTGACAGAGGGCAAAGATGGCCATAGGGTGCTCTGAGTTTTGGGATGGTCACATGACACAATCCAGCACTTGAACCTGAAAAAAGAAAAATAAAAGCAGTCAAAGAGTTTAGAATTCAGTGATGAGCTCTCCTCCCTAATCAAGCGCCATGTTTACACCTTGGAGACCAGGAAGCAGAGGATCTGAGGGAGAATGAAACTTTGTGCTCAAGGACTAAGAAGATGGGGGTCTTGGAAGCAATGAACACCAGGGTCATTTGGGACGAGGGCTGGGACATGCAGCCCAAGGGAGGTTGGGCAGAGGACGGGAAAGAAAGGGAACCTAGTACAATGCTTCACTGGAGGCTTGATCCTCAACAGTCCCAAAGACTACAAAACCCTCTCCCAGCCTCCACAGAAGATCTAAAAGTCCTCTTGAGAGGGTCCAGCTAATATCTATCCTATTCTCCTGCAGTTCCCTGACCCTAGGTTTCCTCAGCAAAATTTCAACAAAATCCACAAACCAACCCAACTTTGAACTTCCAGTGTACCAAGAGTGGTTAAGCTTCTGAAGTATTCTTTGATTCTACTATAAAAATGTTGCCCGTATACCTAGAGCACACTTCCCAGGGCATGAGAGGGGGGGGTAGCAAAGGAATCTTGCTTTATAACTGAAAAGACAGGCAAGTTCCTGTAACATCAATCTGATCCAGAACGGGGGACAATGTGGGTTCAATGTGCCACCATGCTTTCCCTGTCCTGTCAGTTCTGTCAGCAGATTGACCCCACCTCAGACCAGCTACACCTCAGACCAACGACAAGTTGAGGGAGGACTGAAGTGCTACATATTGTATCCTCTCCCCAATGAACTGCTTTATCTACATCTACCCTTAACTTTTGGTCTGAGCTAAAAATAGGTTCCCCCCTCCATTGCTCATTGTTTCCTACATTGAGAGGACACACAGAAGAGACTGCAAGATGACGTTTATCCCCAAACATCCTGCAACCTAATGGATGAGGAGCTGACCTATACTCGGTCTTTGCCTGTGTCTGGGGCCCCAAGCTAAGAACCAGCAGGCAGTGGCACTTAGAGCTTCTGGTGTGTAGTGAGGCAGAAGCAGGGAAGTCAATGCCCCCAGCCACAATGTCAGCTTTCCTGCCAGTGAGCTGGGGGTAAGGGAGCAACTGGGACTCCTACCTCTTCCCACTCTCTGAACCCCCAAATGCATCTGTATGTGGTATGCAATACACATACACACTTGCAAACTAGTCCACTCAGACCCCCTACCCTCTAGCTGGAAACTACTCAAGGAAAAGAAAATACTTCTATTGTAAATCACCTAGTAAAATTAAGAGCCAATAACTACTGAATGATTACTCTGCAAACTACGGTAAGAAAATTATGCTCCGTACATAAATATGATAATATCAATTCTCACAGCAACCTTCACAATAGGGGTGCTACTGGCACAGAGTCTAGAAAAAGAGTCAAGAATGATTAAGTAACTTGCCCAGGGTCTTGGACCCAGTTGAGCTAGTGTGGTAGTTGCTATACAATATTTCATTCTAATCTATTAATAGTGATCTGAGAGGTGGAAAAATTAAAGGCTGGGACAACTGAGAAAGGAAAAGAAATAAAGAGAAAGCTGGGAGTACTTTGGGCTCAAAGAGGATCCCCAAAGTTGTAACGCCTGACATTTTTCAGTCCCTCTGGAAGGGAAAACAAGAGTGTGGACATGTTGCAAGAGAGGGGGGACGTTAGATTTTGGTGGATTCCAATAATCAGAGGTGAGTGACACTGTCAGGGGCCCTCATAAAAGAGAACAGGGAAAAATAGCTATTCTCACTTATTTATATAAGGTCTTTCCTTCCCCCTGATCTGTTTCTCATGTCAGATATGGCAACAGGACTCAACATCAATAAGTGTTGCTCTTATTCACATCTTCCTTCCTTATAGCCCTCATCCCCACAGAAACTTCTAGCCTTGTATCTTCAGAAGTAAGTTCCCAGGATTTGGGGTTGGGGGAAGGGCAGTTTAGAGTGATGGTGGAGAAAAAGAGAATGATCCTAGAGAACCATAAAAAGGTGCAGATTTACAGCTGACGGAGCTGGTTCCCTCCGCATCTTTATAGACTCCCTCATTAACAGCTTCCAGGTATGCAGAG